AACAGTCAGCAGGCCGGACGTGAAGGCCAGCATTCAACGGGAGAATGTGCCAACTGGCACCCTCACCTGACTGCCTCTACATGGAGCTGAAGGCCCAGTGTAGAATCAAGTGTGCAGAGTATCGTTCTTACTTTTAATTAAGCCCTGACCATGAAAGCAGGCCCAGTTAAATAAGAGCCGGCTGGTGCCTCCAATAGCCAGCCGATTACTGTGCACGGTTAAATAAACAGGGTGGAGTAAAATGCAACAAAAAACTAACTAGAAAAGAAAAACACCCAAACACAACCCTGAATACACAACATGAAGTTGACCAGTGGAACCTGGGAATGTTGAAAACAGCGAACGCTGGAACTCAGGTGGTGCTGGTTGAGTATTTAAACCAGATTGGTCAGTACACACAAAAGCCACTAATGTCTTGCAGTGAGTCAGAGCAGCATGTCATTGTTGATATATTGCTAAGCAGCCTGTTTAAAGTCAGCCTTCTCAATGGCACTAGGCAGTTACTGTGATTGAATTTCTGAACTGCTGAGTGGCTTTTTATTCCAGCAATACCACACGACCAAGAGCCCCCCAGTGATGGTGGGATTCTCGATGCCCTTAAGCTTAAATATAATGAACCTAATGTTTTGGCTTATCAATGATGGTAATATTAATGCTAACCTGAAAATAAAATTCCTCAAATTGGCACAATCCAAGGACTATTTGCATTATAAATAGTTCTTGTATGTATCACAGATTATTACCACACCCATATCTATAACTTTGAATATTTGTCACGAGAGTAGTCATTTATTCTCTTTATCCCTGCATGTTTTATCTGAAATTGAAATGCTGCATAACATGAATTTCGGTCCCAAAGATGAAGTATTGGGCAACAAAAGCACAGAAGATATTTAGAAAAGACTAAAATCCTGATGACGGACAGCTTTACAAAGTGCAATGTTGTGATTCTACAAAGGATGCTGCACTGAAACCGGTCTCTTACTTGAAGATAATGAGACACCGCCTAGCATGGAGAACGTTTGTTGACTGTATATTTGTCACACTTCTGCCACACCCAACTGAGATTGAGCAAGAACACAGCATCATAGGGACACAATGTTATCGTATCCTAAACCTCTGGACTGTATTGCCAGGGAGAGGAACCTAATGTGGGCCACCCTTAGAAGAAGCAATTGACTAGTATCGTACCGATCTGAAGTCTCCGTCAACGTCAGAGTCCTCACAGATGTCCTCATGGGGCACATTTCGTCTCTTCAGAAGGTGCTCATCTCTTTTGTTCTGTAGTGGAGGGAAACAGAGATATTACTTCATGCACATTTCAGAAGAAATTCATCATGATAAGAGGACAAGATAATACAAATGTACCAACCTTTCTGAGTTCCACCACTACCTCAGTCCTCTGTCTTCTCATAGTCTGTGGGTGAGATAGCATAAGAACATTTAGGAACTATTTTCTAGAGCGGCACAGATGTATCTGCATACAAATAACCAGCAACCATTTTCATCAATAGATTGGCAGTGAAAATAGTTCCAGCCATACATCAATCCCAACATGCCATTGCCAAATAGAGTGACCCTGGCGGCCTAATTAAACCTGGGCGAAGGATCAAGTTTAAGTTTATAAAAGCAGGGTCAATCTGTAGTATCAGTCATACCTGGAGCATTAGGTCAACATCCCACAATCTGCATGTGATTGCCTAACACCCTAAACCCGAGCCTGATCTATTTCGCTTTAGCTTAAATTACTGTAAGATGTGCCTCAACAATACCTCTAACTTACATATTCTTCAATATACAATTTCAATTTATGTTGTTATCTTTAAACAAAAAAAAACTATAGTTACAAGTATGTAGCAGATATATTATAGGGCACACTTATTCAGCAAAAACTGCAGTGCCACATTGAGTCTTTCATGAAGGTTTTACTGTTCAGTTTCTTTGTTGAAGCTGGTTTAAAGAGGTGCTGATTCAGTCTTTTATACAGACTGTACTGTGTGCTGCTGTTGAATAGTATCGTTTAGTGATCTACAATTAATCTCCAAAACATCCATACAAGTGATTCAACGCCTATCTAATGCAGTTTCAACACAAACAGGGACATGTATTATTGTGTTCATTGGAATTATAAGAACGCCCTAGGTGTAACTATGCCTGATAAACAGGTAACTGAGTATAAAGGTTTTACTATACACCTCACATTAAGTGATGGTATTTGTTGGTTATGCTTGTGTTCACCGACAGACCACCAAGTGATTATCAAGTAGCTAGTCGTATGTCTAGAGGCCTAGACCGCTTCAGTAGCTACTTGTCAAACAGGATGTGTGATTATATCCTGCTCATAGTTACGTCTTGAGTGAGGGCGCCTGAAAACAACACCCCTGCGAACACTAACGAAGCAAAGGCATATTGAGCCGACTATAAATCAAGTGGTAACTTATGCAACGTTAGCTAACGTGTAGCTTTGATCTAACAGTCATGTGATCGTGTTAACTAGCTGATCGTGTTAACCTCGTTTTCTAAGCATGTGTAACGTTGGTAAAACACCTAATACCGCAATAACACTACGCCACAATTTAAAAATGTCTAGATAACTGGCCAGTTTAAAGGCTAACTGGTTTCCGCCATTGTTTTTGGTGGTAAAGACGGGGGATGGGTGGAACTGCAGCCACCATCAAGCTCTACCAGCAAGCTTAACGGTGGCTAGCAAATCAGTTAGCACATAGGTTAGCTAACTGCAGTACCAAAATAACGCTAATCTGCCGCTCTGTTAGCTTTCCAAACATGCAAATATACGGCTAATAAAACATATAAGTCAGTTAAATGTACTTTTAGAGGCACGTGTATCAGTTTTCCTAGCCAACTCATCGACCAAAACCGATCCGGCGGCTGATATGCCTGAGTAGCGCTAGCAAGTCCCCCGTGGGCCTCCCTAGCATCGAGCTAGCAGAGTACATATAGCGGAGGCGATGAACTCTGACTAGCGTTTCTGACATGTTTTATAACCACCGCGCTCTCACGGTGAAGCGAAACCAGCAAAAGCAAATGGAGTTAGCACAGCCAAGGCCAGCGACATATAACTGATTATATTCTGAGGCCCTGGCCAAGGATTAAGGTAAAAAAGTTCCCGATGGTAGAAATTAGAAACGACGTCACAAGGAAGCCAGAAGGCGAAGCTGTCCGTGAACAGAGCGGCGCCGAGAAAAGCAAGAGATCTTCGACACCAATCTGTATAACTTTTACCTCCAAATCACGGCCCTTATTCTTGAAATTCTTCAGCCGCTGGTTGTCCAGTTTCTCGTTGTCAGCCATGTTCGCAGTTGTAGTTGCGGTAAATACAATCTAAATCGTGAATTTAGCTTGTGAGCTATCCTTTTCTGGTTCCCTTTTCTCAGCCTTTCGTTAGCGGACTATTTTTTGCTGCTCTGTCCGCGGTGCATACTGGGATTGCCGGTGGTGGAGGGCAGCCTCGCTGTGGCGTAGAGAGGAAGGGTGGGGAAATCCCCTTCACTCTCATTGGCTTCACTGTGAACGTGTCTCTGCGGGGCGCGCCACTTTACAAGATACAAACCCAGATTACCATGGATAAATGCTCACATAAATATAAGAGAAATAGCATCCAAAGTGTAAATCTGCCCTCAGGGAGATTCTTCTGGGCTTCACTTAATGAAGTTATCAATTGGAAATAAATGAAGCTAGTTGGAAATACATTTTTACTCAATAAAAGTTTAAGAGTTTTCAGTCAACATTTTTCATACAATATATTTTGTAAAAAAAAGACACTAGAGGGATTTAACATTGATATTGACTATTGTTGTGATTTCAGTAATTTACATGAAGATACAATTTTTCATTTATTCAATCACTGTTTATACTCACACTCACACTTTTGGTCTGATGTTGAGTAAGAAAAACGGGACAAACATTACAACGTCAAGATGAGGACATTTTTTATAAACTTTAAAAGTGATGGATTTTATTGTACAACAAATTAGATTTATGAGATAACAACAATATTGCAGCATGAATACAAATAGTAAAAGCAAGAAGGAACTCAAAACCAAATGTGGATTTTATTAATATTAACTTGAGATGTTACATTTTGTTTTTATCACTTTTTTCTTAATATTGATTTATTTTCTTAATATTTATTTTAATTTTATTTGTTAACTGTACCCTGATGTCAATGAATCACATATTTATGGTTAATTTACATATATATTTTCTTGAATAAAGGGGGGGGGGGAGAAACACCTTTGTGTCTGATCATTGTATTTAATGACAATTAACACAGACTACTAATATCATAATTTAGAAAACTCTTTGTTACAATTAAAGTCCCACATTCTTTAGTTAAAGTTTGTAATGATAGTCAAACAAATACTTGAATTTAAAAGTAGAAGTAATCACTATTCAGCTCGATGAGCTTTCATTGCACCATATTTTATATTAGATTATTATTCTTGACGCATTACAATGTAAGATTCATTTTCATTTTGGTCTTTGCCGTGAAGGTGTTTTGATTTAAATAAATGCAAGGCAATGTATTTCATATACCTCGTTAGAGGTTAATAAAAATCTGAATTTGCAAAGTGTCGAGTAACTAAAGTGTGTGAAGTAGAACGCTGCATTACATTTAAGTACCTCAACAGCAAGTAAGTACAGCACTTAAATGAATGTAGCTACTTATTATTTTCTACCACTGCATCCATAATATCTATTTCTTTCTAGTTTTACAGTCATTTATTTTAGCTTATAGATACTTTGCTTTACTTTAATTTATACTATCAGTAGGCTATAATAGCCAACGGCCGGTTTACCAATCCGGGGCGAAACAGACAAGATAAAATAAAGAGCACCTTTACTTATCCTATGGGAAATTGTTGTGCAGCAGTTGCAATAAAAAAATAAGCATGTAAGTATGTTTTAAGACATACCTTTAAAAATGCCTGGGATAACCCATATGTGAAATCTAAGAATTTGAATGTCAGGACTTTAACATGAATTAATCTTTATTTCATTGCAACATTAGACAAAACAACACTGACATATTGTAAGCATGATAATAAACACACATTGAAAACACGCCTTGAGTTGACAGATTTTACAGTTTTGTCGGCTTTAATTTGTATGATGTAGCAACATCTATATTTTACATCAATGTCACAAATAGGCCTTTGTTTAAGTACAATTTGTGTTGTACAAACCCAATAGTTATACAAAACAACAAGTCTTTATATTTCATAAAAATATAAATATAAAACTAAACATAAATCAAACAAGCAAAAGTTGCACAATTGGAGAACCGAATTGTTTTGACCCACAGACCAATATATATTTGGTCTGTATTTCCATGTAGAGACAACTCTTAGATTGAATCATTGCAAATACTCTATTTTGCAAAAGGTTCAGTTTCTCTCTCAGGCTCAGCTCAAATATCAGTTTTTGACACACCAGCTGTCTTAACCCAAGATCACAGCACCCTCATGGGATATCACCATGGTCCAAGGACACTTTGTCTTTATCAGCATTGAATAAAGCTTCTCTCTGTCAGGTAGATTAACAAACAAAACTGAGATAATATCATCCCTTTTCTCATCACCTCCTATACTCTGATCCTATAGATGCCACAGTGAGGCCATTTGCTGCTGAATTATACAGGCAGACAACAAGGACTCCTGCAAATCACTTGAATGATTCTCAAACCAGATTTCCCCCCCCCCATCATCTGCTGCAGAGACAAACCACTTTTTTCATAGCTGTGATACTGAACCCTTTGGACTTCATCTTAACCTTAATGTCCTCTTGAGTCTGTTTGAATGGAGTCTTCATCAGATAGACGATCCTCCTGAAGCCCTCCTCCAGCCCCACGCCGGTGGTGGCTGAGCAGGGCTGGATGAACCAGGTCCTGCCCTCACACAATCTTCTCAAGTCCAGTGTCACACAAAGAGCCTCTGCGCTTTGAGCGCCCTGGAGGTCCTGTTTGTTGGCAAGGACCACGAGAGGGACTCCTTTGAGACTCTCATGCCTCAGGACCTAAAAGTGGAGAAGAAAGCAAACAACAAAACTGAACTTGTGTACAAAATCTTTCAGTTAACTGGTTTATTGTGTTTAACCAATATCTATCAAGCTAGTTGAACACATACTGCACACTGTAATGTCATTTTAAACAGAGATAAGGGTATTTATTAAAATCTTTGTGAACAATTGATATTTTGTTCTGTTTGGCCTGCTGTACTGGTGCATAAGCAGATGACTAATGATAGACAAAAAAAACAGTTGTAATGAAATATGATTTAGTTACTCATACATTTTTTCACTAATAGAGCATGTGTTCTATTTTATTTGTTCTATGTCCTATATGTATTCATGTTGCACTGTTGGAGGAGCCTGTGACTTAAGTTTTCCATTGCCATATCTACACTGTAGCTACTGTGCATGTGACAATAAAGCCTTGAATCTTGACATAATGAAATGTTCTTCATACTACATATAAACTAAGCAAAGTTCAAGTGTTATTGCAGGGTGAATTAAAATATTATACACAGTTTTGGACAAATTGGTTTAGTAAAGTATAGTTGTTGACAAGACATTAATAAGCATGTTGTCAGGGTTGGGGAAAAATAGGACCCAAATGAGGAAGAGACAAGACTAAATACAGCGAGGGGTAATCACGAGACGAGAAACAGCCGGGCAGGGGAGGCAGAAACACAAGGGCAACAGGTGAACACAATCAGACACACCAGGGAAACTAACGACAGGGAGGAAAACACAGGGAGAAAAGAACAGCAAAATAAACCCAAACCTAGACATACAAAACTAAAAATGTGACATAACATAAAAATCGTGACACATGTTCAAATGTTCTTATATCTGCTTAACTTCTGCTATGAGCCATTTATTAAAGAGTACAACTCTGCATACATCACTCTGCTCAATGTAGCTCAAACATCCAATTGAAGTAACAAAAACACAATTCTTACTGAAGGAAGAATATGTGCAATTAAGAGTATAAAAGTATCTGTTTAAATTACCCGATGAAGTTCCTTGTGGGCCTCATCCAGATGCTTTTTATCCCAGCTGTCCACCACAAACACCAGTCCGGCTGTATCAGTATAGAAATGTTTCCAATAGGGCCTCATCTTCCTCTGGCCCCCCACATCCCACACCGTCAGGCCCGGGCTGCTCCTGTCCGTCTCAAGCGTCTCCACGTTGAAGCCCACAGTGGGCACGGTCAGCACACTTTCGTTGTACTTCAGCCTGTAGAGCAGTGTGGTCTTTCCAGATCCAGTCAGACCCAGCATCAGGACCTGTGCTTGTTTTCGAGGCTTGGATCCATGCAGGCCCATGTCCTAACAGTGCAGCTCGTGACTATAAAGTAAGCTTCTTCTTCTTTTTGTATAGCTGTGATAAATAAGCTGCACCCAATGGCTCCCTTTGTACTGACTATCTATAGGCTTAGTGTGTCCCGTCTCTTATAGAGACTGGCTGCAGTCAGTATGCTTTATGTGCGCAGAGTGATCCCTCCCCTCTGTTGTGATGGGATTCCTCTTGTGTCTGCGTAGCTTTCAGTAATGCTATTTATATCCAAAGTGATGGTGCAACTAACTGCATACAGTTCTCTGGTTACCACCACAGCACAGTTAGTAGAGGAGTCACATCACACCTGCTACAGATCATCAGATACACCAACCAGGAAGTCCATTTTGGTACACCGGTAAGATTATGTTTCTTCCTGGCTCGGTGTCCCTGAGCAATGTCATCACAGGAACATTCAGCTGGGGGATAACTCACCCTGGGCTGATGGGTAAATGTAGTTTTATCTTTAGACTGAGATTTTGTAGGCAAAATGTGAGCCTTTGAGAAACCTGTCAGCAAAAATGGTTTCTGGGAATCTGTTATTGATCCCAAATAAATATGCATACATTAAACATTTTGAATGACTGAAACAGACTTTAGCATTACACAATAGTGTACAACATCAGCACTGGACAATATGATCGGAATTATACATTGTCACAATTAGTACACTAGATTTAATTTGAGTGCATCTTATTTCATTTCTAATTCTTGCTGACTTCTGATTGTTTTCCCAATTCATTCTGTATGACACCTTAAAACTAGTGTGAGTTCTTTTTGAATTGTTTTTGTTATATCTGTTGAAATATTCTTTACTTTCTATTAACAATCAGCAGAATCACCTGACATACTAAATGTGGATTGCAGTGACGAATATATTCTCATCGCCCAGCAGGTGGCATAACCTGACTAAAATCAGCTCTTCATTACCCGTTGTTTAATTTATTTAGCTGGAAAAACAAACATGTAAGAGAACTTTAGGGAAATACTTGAGAAAAGATTAAATATTCATGTTTCTGTTTAGTGCCCTATACATTTAACTCAAGAGCAAATATGTCAAGCATTCAGGGAAAATATGTTTCTTATATTTACTATCAATTGAAGTATTACCTTTATTGATATTAATCCCCAGAGTCCCCATACATAATGTACTGGTACTGTTTTCAAGTTTTGTTGAAGATCTCCATGTTTATTTTTCTTTCCGGTTATTGTCTATGTATGAGTTACTTTTACTGAATAATTTCTAAATAAAAAACACACAAAATGATCATATATCATTTTTAATGTTCTCTTTTAGATTTACAATTTGAAATTTCAGAATAATTGTTATTGTATTTGTGTACAGTTTATTAAAGTCAACAAAAACAAGTACAAATGCCACAAACACTCTGTAAGGTACATATTTTAGGAAGAATGTGAACTGAAAAAGCACAAACAGACAGTTTTCTGACATATATATATCTGAAGTTAAACAATCCAGAAACAGGCGCACTGCTTTATTCATTGATGCATGAACAGTGGAGGGGTGATACTAACATGAGGACAGTATGTACATTCATCTTACAATTCCATGTCTCTTAGAGACATTTCTTCCCATAATGCTATTTTACATGGGAGTTAAAATGTACGACTTCAGGGTCGAGCAGTGTGCATGGCATAATCGACGGCAATACATTAAACTGAAAGTAGTTTTGGTAGCAGACTTCATAACAGGAAATCAACAGTTTAAAAAATAAGGCAACAATAACACAATTCATTCAAAGGCTTGTTACATTTTGAGTTACAGTTCAGGAAAATGTTAATAATGATCAATAGCAGGATGTAGAGGACATGGCATTAAAGGCTGAAATTGTAACGTTAATTTGTCATGTGATAATTTAAGAAACCTCAGATAAAGGACTAGCACGTCAATAATTATGCAAAAAAGAAGCCTAAGGCTGGTAAATCTTTCTTGATAATTTAAATTGCTAAATCATTCACAATTGTAACTGCCTGTAACTCCTTCCTCAAGTTTAAAATGTTTTTGTTTTTTTAAGTTGTGAGATTTTCTTTTAACAATCTACAGCATTACATTATCAGTAGTTACATAAATGCTGATAAGGTGGGGATCATACCAGAGTCTCAGCTTTCACAAATGTAATATGTATCAACAATTAAAACAGAATTGAGACTTTATTAGCACAAAAACAGCAATCAATTTAAGTGAACTTAGACATTCAACATCTAAAATTATAAAATTCAAGACAAAAAACTTTCATCCTTACATCAAATTCCCATGATCAGCAAGTCTGATGCGACCATTGTAATTGGTTGTATTGCTGTACAATATCGATGGTGATATTTAAACAAGCATAGTATCATTTGTGTTGTTCCTGTATAAAGGGAATACAATCATATTTGCACCAGTGACATGTAAATGATCCAGGAAAAAAATACCTTTTCAGTGCAGTCACTTGGTAGACACAAGTCTACAATTAAATGATGTAACAACAGAGTTAGAAAACTAAAAGCATAAACATTAGTGGTCACATAGTGGAAGACCTGACCTTTGAAATGACGTGGAAGTGAAACTCCATGCTAGCTTGTTTACTGTCATTTTCTCATTATTGGACAGGCAATGCATTGGTTGTTAACGTGAAATATATCAATTATTTTCATATTCTCAAGCATACACACGCACGCACGCACACACACAGCTCAATCTGTTGTTGCATAACTAAATGAAAGCAATAAAAGTAAAGGAGGGGAACTGCAAATATCTGTGATAGAAATTGTTCTCACCCAAAATGTTGTTTTGAGTTTTTAAATCTCTCATCTTAACCCTATTACTTCTCACTAATATTCAAACATGATATAGATGCTGTGTGTTGTTGTGTCTACTTCTCGCTGGCCTTGCCTTTAAACTTGACTACCATGACGGTGATGTTGTCAGGGCAGCCACGATAAAAGGATTGGAGGACGATGCTCTTTGCGCCGAAATGAGGCTCGGCCAGTCGTTCCCTGATGAAGCGAACCGCCTCCTCGTTGCTGAAGGTGTCCCACAGGCCGTCCGAGGCCAGGATCATGAACTCCGGCTGCAGCTTGTTCAGGTCAAACGTCATGATGTCCGGATTGGGAATGACCACGTTGAGGTTCTTCAGCGGGTAATCGCCCAGAGAACGGGACATGGCCAGGATGCCCTGCACACGCCACGAGCCGTTGAAGCTGATGAACCCACCTGAGGAGGAAGACAGAGGGGAAATAGTTGGAAAGTGCCAAAGGAAAAAGTTGAGGGTAAATTACAAGATGGAGGGGGGGAGGTGGTAGAGAGAATGAGAGGAAGTGAGAGGATAGAGGAAAACAAAGGTAGAGGGAACAGTAGAGAAACGGATGTTTTCCATGTTACTGATGTGAAACTGCAAAACAAAAGACTATTTTTGTTTCTCTGAACCAACTGGCAACATGTCTATTCATCTATGAGACTACTATGTTCACATCAAATAAGCAAATAATATTTTGGATTAGTACCCTTCACATGTTTTCACTCAGTGCTCATTGTTTACGCTCATGGAACGCAATTGTTTATGTTGGATTGATTTCAATTTATGTCACATCCTGCAAGTACAGCTGCGTGTTCTCTATGGCTTCAACAGATTTGCAAGGAGGGAATTGTACTGGAACTGATAGGATGAGGAATTCCATATGAGGTCAAGATGCCTCCCTAGTTCCTGGTGAGCAAGGCCATAGCAAGGATTTACAAAAACAATCTGAGTTTAGGCTATAAAAACAAATCCCATTATGTGTAACTTTCTGTTACTATTATTAGTTTGCTAAACTCCCCATTTCCCAGCAAAGCAGAGGACATGAACTCTGTGTCCTCATGTTTGCTCATGTAGTTAACTGCTTTAATATAACCAGGGAATAGAATGTACAAATTGCTTTCAGAAGCAAGGGAGACATTAGTCATTGAAGTATTACCCGCAGCAGTTCGCTTAATAAATGCATTAATTAGTTATGCCCTGAAATTATCATGGGACTATATGCTCACCACTATTGCCAGTGACTTGTATTTATTTCAAATCAATTTAATTATTAATCAGTTAGATTTCATTACTAAAGTCAGCACTACGTTTCTTGAAATTGCAATTTTTCAGTCAGACTATTCAAATGACTTTTTTTTACATTTTTGTATGAGAGCCACAGACAGTTAAACCTTTAGTAATGGATTTGTAAAAATCCTAAAATGACACAATAATTACAATGTATCCTAAGATCTACAGATTACAATAAAACAACTGTTGAAGTAAAATAAAGAAAGATACACAAATAGATAATGACTAATTACTATAATTATTAGTTAAGGAAATATAAAGTCAACAGTCTGATACATCATAATAAATATTATAAGTGAACCATTTCCTACAAATCTTATTAATTGAATACTTCCATTATTTTTCGAAAAATGCCATTTGTGGTTTGACTGTTTTGTAAATGGTTGTTGCAATTTGAGGTTCTAGTAGCAAGTGTCATTGTTTACTTTTCTTTTTCTAGTGCAGAGACTTAATTGACCATTTAGTACTTGAAACAGATTCCAGAAAATCTGGTTTCACTAATGAAAAAGGTAGATGTATGGTACTCTAAAAACCAATTACATCACCAGCTCTACCCGTGGAGCGTGTGTTTTTGGTATTGAGTTTCTATCAGTAATTGTTCTGGAGTATCAGTGTTTACAGGACTGTGTCACAGAGACAGATAAACACCACCTTAACAAAATGCCGACCCAGGACAGAGGACTAGTGTCTATGCTGTTATTTTATTAGTATACAGTAGCACTGGTTCCTGTTTATGAGAAACTATAATGATTATGATCATTAGATTCTGGCCCCTCACTGAAGTTGAAACGGTAGGAACTCAAGTGTAGTATTATAATTGCAAGTATGTCACATGAATAAGTAAACTGCAACACAAAGCAAACTAAATCTGTGAGCTTTCTTTTAGTACCCAAGTAGACCATTAGATGGAGATGGTGGGCTTTCCTGACAGTGACCACGCTGTGACAGATTCATCTGGCAAACTGCCATCAAACTCTCTTCAGCATGGAGAGTATGCAGATAGGGTAGATGGGAGAATTATGCCTTTAAATACACCTTAAATACTGTGCACTGTCTGGCTGCATTTGATAACATGCTGCGTTAGAGGCAGATAGAGTTATCAGTCACTCGGGTTTGATGTCAGCCTCAGCACAGACATGCACAAAGTGGAGAAAAAGGATAATGGTGCTCAGCTTTGATCATAAGAAGACTATTTTATGGTCTTTATGACAACAATCTGTGTGTTGATGTAGCTTTAAGTTTGAACTAAAGCCTTGTTCTGCTTAAAATTGCTGGAGAAAGGTCTACTGGTTTGGACTGCAGCTGTTTCCTCACCAGCCTTCTTGATCCTCTTGCGTTCTTTTAGCTGGTAAGGTTTGTGGTCATGCGACAGAGGAATAGCGTTTCCGTCTTTGTCACAAAGAACTCCACGCGAGTCTCCAACGTTGGCCACCGTCAACTCCTTATCAGAGAGCAGGGCCACCAGACACGTAGTACCTGAGACAGATGGAGGAGAGAGGCGAGCAGGAGGGAACAGAGGAGGGAGAAGAAAGTGGAATATATCAGAGTTAGAATGGGCAGTTAAAGGAACAGTTTCTGTCAATAAACATTGTAATATAGTGCATTTAAGGGGTAAGATGCCACTTCCAAGGCATTGCACTGCCATTACAATAGTGCATCCTTGCATTAGGCCACGTTGGCACTGCCTAGGAAGTGGACCGTCAACCCTCCTGTTTCCAAATAAAGTTCCTACGGACTGAGCTTCTGCCCGTGAATACAACTATTCATGGTTAAAATAACCAAGAAAATAAGATTTTTGGCATCGAGCAAACTAAAACCCATGACAAATAAAGGTATTATTTTTACATTCATAAACCATAAGAGTAACACCTATTGCAATGCAGGGTGTAATACAACATCACATAATGACAACGCTAACCTGCTGATGTTCAGAAGGCTTACCATCTCATTTACATGTGACAGCAGGATCGCTAATAACAAAATCATTCTGATAGATGCATGAATCTCTTTACCAAATATCATCATTTTAGTTTCATTTGAATAGCTGTCAAGACATTTTCAATAATCATTGAGTGGTGGGCCAAAGCACAGAACTACGTCCCCATGACTAGAGTCACAGTGCTAGCAATGTTAAAACAATTATGGAAAATTGTAATTTACAGTCCTGGTTAAAAAGTATGTAACATGTAAATGTATGTTCTTTCATATAAAGCTACTCTGAACCCCTTCCCTCATGCACAAACACTGCAAACACTCTTTGAAGTCACTTTTTTCCTTGTACTACTCTCTGAAATACTTTTTTTTCTTCTCCTCCTTCCTCTCTTTGTTTAGTTTCCCAGCCAGGCAAAGCAGAGTCTGGACTCCGAATCTGAGGCCTATTGTGTGCGATCTAAAGTCCTGCAGAGAAAGAACAGATCTGCCTGTTTGGCCATCTGCTCACACAGAGCAAATAAAACTGGAGAGAGAGAGAGAGAGAGAGAGAGAGAGAGAGAGAGAGAGAGAGAGAGAGAGAGAGAGAGAGAGAGAGAGAGAGAGAGAGAGAGAGAAGTGAGGATAAAAAAAGAAGAGAATGTAGGGGGTCCTAGTTGTTCTGGACCACCCGGACAGATATACAGAGAGGGGAGGGTGATACATTGAGATTTAAAGTACAGTCATCCTCAACATGTAAGTGTAAAATGCTACAGGAGGTAGATGAAAGCTGGATTCAATGCCATTGTAAGAATATGGATAACCTCTTTAAAGTTCCTCGTATTGTTATGATTTGATTGAGTTTAGTTTCCTAGACGTTTGACATTGAGTTGAATAAAAAAAAGGATCTCTCCTCAAAGGGTCCTCATATTAAGTTAACTCTGTGCTACACCTGATGCAGTCACAATATGTGAGGACGGGGGACGAGTTAACACAGTGGATGCAGAGGAGAAGAAGAGTTGAGGAGGGTTGGTGAGATATGAGACAAATAAGAAATGAGATTACTTCTCAGCAGGACAATGGTTTTATTACTCCCATTTATAGCTTTTGGCGAGAAAAAGAGATAAACAATAGAGAAAAACGAGACAGAAAATAACTATGCACCAGCTGGAAGCGCGGCGCAGATGAATGTAGTGAATATTGATGCCACTTTATTGTCAATGACTTACTAAATCTTTTACTCAGTTTGTGCAAAATCCATTTCTATTAGTTTCATCATTGTATGCATCCCTAATCCTGCTGCTCGTGCCCGGAGCTGCCGCTGCACTGTACCATGCTGTCCAGCTAATTATCCTCATCCAGTTCCCATGGCGATGGAGATAATGGACTGAGGTGCATTGCTAGCACACCCTTCCCCAATTAGCCCGGCCATGCCAGGCATACGTTCAGCATTCCATATTAAAATGGCACCATGTCTTGCATTTGAGCTCATGCTAATTAATGGCTTTGCTTGGCCTGCACACTCCAATAAAATTAACATCTCAGCCCCAGTTAGTCTCACACTCCAAATTGTATCATTGCACTGATTCACTCTCTCAGAGTTAGCAAAAGACTCTGGAGAGTATACATGACCACACAGCACCAGCAATCTTCCCCTGGATGTATGTCCTAACAGTTCTGCTTAGCATTTAGGCGAACAAATGAGAGCAGGACTGCCAACACCCTGCTCACACTGGCCCAAAACCTTCTAAAAAATAAAACGACCTGCCCATTAGTCCAGCTACAACATGATTTTTGTCCCTTGAGAGCTGCCATCCCGTCTTACCTGCCCTCCTTGCCTTAACTTTTAACGATTTATAGCAACACTATTTTTAGCATTTGGCATTGAATAAAGCAATTTAAATAGATTTGTAAAGTCTGTGAAGCACTCTAAATATCACTATGAAGCTTTATTGAAGCCCTGCTTTCTATAGTGTATTGTTTTAAGTGTATTTAATGAGTAATACTTTTGTCCTTTTTGCCTTCATTAAATAGACAGGACAGATACACTGGAAAGGAGACGACTTGCAAACCCATTCACTTTGGTAAAGACTCAGCCTTGGTATATATGAAGTATTTTTTTGTCTTTACTATTCAATCCTTTCCATTTTTAATAACTAGCTGCCGTAGGGCCAACCTCAGCCTCTTTAAAGCCCTATGAATTTTTTTTGCTTTATTTCTCCAGTGTTTGTGGTATCCTTTATAATTCTTATCATACAACATATTAAGTACATCATTATGTAGCATACATATCAGTGGCATTGATCTGACAGCCCAATAGATCTCCTATAATCAAGCAAGGCGTCAATAGCAACTGTGTGGGTCAGGAAGTAATTTACTAGTTTAGCATTGCATCAGACTCTTGATAGAGTTATTAAAAGATCAAAACTGATAAAGCTAAAAACAGAGATATTTTTACATTTGTTTTATTCCATATTCTTCTTCTTTGTTAAGACCTCTAATACTCACAATTCAACCCAACCACGGACAGCTCAGAGTGTTTTTTAGGTGTTATGCTTGTAGCGTAGCCTCGAGCCGCTAGCCTCAAACAGAGATCAGGAGCCTGGGGGCTACGGGGGTCGGGTAAGATCACTTCTTTGAACCTCCCAGATAGTTTTTCAAACACTGCCAAATCTGCTTCAAAACACTCGATAGTCCCCAAAGTACTGTGAGTCGGTAGAGTTCTCCTTTAAGATTAACACTCTTTTTTCTCCAACCAACTGGTTACAGAAAAAATAAAAAGCTCTATGCCTGGAGTCCTTACACAATGAAACCACTTTAAACTCAAAGATCTTATTTGAGTTTTCCATGCATAGGTCAGACAGTCATAGCACAACATCAAACTTGCAAAAGCCTGGAACTCACTTGGGATGATAGCTAATTCATCATTACATTACATTGCATTTAGCTGACGCTTTTATCCAAAGTGATTTACAATAAGTGCATTCGACCAAGAAGATACAAACTTGAAGAAAGCAGAATCATATAAGTACATTAGGTTTCATAGAGCCAAAATATTTCAAGTGCTACTCTACTAGCTTTAGACAAGCCAGTCCTTTATTAGTATATAAGTGCTTTGTTAGTAATGTTATTGCTTGAAGTGGAGTCGAAAGAGATGAGTTTTTAGTCTGCGCCAGCTTTCTGCTGTCCTGATTTCAATGGGGAGCTCATTCCACCATTTTGGAGCCAGGATAGCAAACCCACGAGTTTATGCTGATGGGAACTTGGGTCCCCCTCGCAGTGCGGGTGCAGCGAGCTGTTTGGCTGATGCATAGCGGAGTACACGTGCTGGGGTGTATGGTTTAACCATGTCCTGGATGTAGGAAGGGCCAGATCCATTCACTGCATGGTACGCAAGTACCATTGTCTTGAAGTGGATTCTAGCAGTTACTGGAAGCCAGTGAAGGGAGCGGAGGAGCGGCGTGGTGTGGGAGAATTTAGGAAGGTTGAAGACCAGACGAGCCGCTGCATTCTGGATGAGCTGCAGAGGTCGGATGGCACATGCAGGTAGACCAGCCAGGAGGGAGTTGCAGTAGTCTAGGCGTGAGATGACGAGAGCCTGGACCAGAACCTGCGTTGCTTTCTGGGTCAGGAGGGGACGTATCCTCCTGATGTTGTAAAGCGTGTATCTGCAGCAGCGGGTTGTTGCAGCGATGTTTGCAGTGAAGGACAGTTTGTTATCTAGGATCACACCCAGATTCCTTGCAGTCTGCGTCGGGGGAAACAACAGAGGTGCCGATGTTG